CAACTATGATCAACAAATCCTTATTAAAAATTCGACAAAGAGTTGCTATGATAAATTCCTGTCGTATCTATGGAACCTCATCCACAGAACTGCGTAGAGTCTTGTTTTCCTGCTATGTTCTTCCCCTATTCACGTGGCTTTTCGCTATTTTTCCTCTCTTCTCTGAATGCCAACGTAGTCATATAGAGCATTTCTATGCCACCTGCTTAAAACGAATTTTGCATTGCCAGAGCTGGCCGGATGAGTTCTTCGAGTTTGTATTCAATGAAGTCCCACTAGTTAATAGATGCACGCGCTATTGGAATAAATATTTCAAAGCACTGGCTGAATCGAAAGATGGTGAGTTGCTTGCAGAGCAGCTAATTCTTAACATACATAGAAACGAATGGCTAAGAGGTAAGCTAAGAGTCAAGGGTCTTCGTAGAACAAAACGATTCATAGATCATAAAACAGTCCTGGAAAAATGTTTGTCCTGGCATGATGAAAACCCCCTCACAGACACAATTGTTCAGTTCTCGCGGGATGATATCGAGTTATTGAAGGAATTTCCCGAAACGTTTTGAAGTATTTCAAGCGGTGATGTTTCGATGTATTTATCACTGTTGATACACGATTCTGTCTGTTTGTTTCTTCTCGTCTCGCAAGTATACTATATTTAACATCATCATATATCTAATTCTCTCTAACTTTTCCTGTCTGATTGTGTACGGCGCTATTCTGTTCTCATTTTTCTTTTTTTCTACGCCTCTCAAGCTCCTTTTCTAACATTTATACTATCTTCTTTATAAAGTCTGACACTTTTTTCTTATGTTGTAATCTCTAGGTACCGACAGGCCTTCGTCTTGGCATCGGTGTTACTCAGCTAGCAAAATAAAAAAAAAAAAAAAAAAAAAACTGATCATTTTCATATTATTTACTGGTAATCTAAGTACTGATCATTCAATATCTTAACTAATCATTCAACCTTTAAACTGATAATTTATATACTTTTTTACTGGTACTTTCGTCCATTTTACAGATCAAATAATTTGTTGCCTATTTTTTTTCTCATGATTCCGAATAAAATAAAAAGGTATAATTAAATCAGATCTTGGGCATTTCTTCGACAAAAATGAAATATTGTAAATAAATCCTACCATGCTCGATGTTGCAAACTGTATTCTAGTAGACTTAGTTGTGCTCTCAGAATAATTACCTCGATCATTAAAACGGACGTCAATGTCATTAGCATGTTCTAAACAACTATTTCGTTTTTAATAAATCGTGATTAGTTTTATTGAACTTATCGAATATTACCAACTTTTTATTACTTTGTCTTCGTGTATCTCTTAATAGTTTTTGCTTTGCTGTAATGCATCATTTATACTTATCCGAATCGTATTACCTGAGGTACTTCCAAAAATAGGAAAACAAACTTAAACCGTTAGGTTGTAATAAGTCTTTATTAATATTATTTTCTATCTTAGGTTGTGGCTTGATTCTTAATAAAGGTACATGGCATGATTTCCCAGTTAGTCTTGGTAATCCAATAACTGTTTTAACATTCAATAGTGCTGAAGTAGTCGAAGCTTTAGCTGCTATGCGTAAACCAGGTGAAATGTTAGGACAAGGTGATATATACAAAATAAATCTTCAGAAACGTCTTGGTGTTAAAATTACATATCAATTTGATTATACAGAGAATAATAAAGGACTAGTGAATGGTGAATGTAAAACAAAATAATTCAATAATTCTCTTAATCATTGAACTAAAAGCCTAATTTCTTTGTAAATTTTTTCTTATCATATTCCTGCAGATATGAGAGTGTGGATGTAAGCAATTGAACACCTAAAAATGATAATTGTATCCACACTTTCATAAGAGAATTTTTGTAGATATTGCATGATTTTTAATTTATTCTGTACAAAGTTATTCATAATATATTATTTTTACATTGGATTTAGTAATATTTCGAATTGTTCTTTTTCTTCATCATTGGACATAAACTATGAGTTTGTCAGATGAATGTGATGATACATACTATTGTCTATTTCAGAATTCAATGCTTGTACATATTGATTGAATAACTTCGAATTTGAATAGTTCGAAAGAGGACTTCGATGAAATTCAAACATCCGAACATCAACACTAAACACTCCTTTATTCAGAAACATTTTTGTGTACACGATTTAATATACAGATGATAGAGTATTTTTAAAATAAATACTCTTGCATGTTTTCTTTTTATATGAATAGCATATTTAATTGCCAATATTTTACACAAGTATATTATATGTTGCAACTATTTTATATGACTCCATTTTCATTTCATATTGTTAACTGAAGTGGCAAAACATGGAAATCTATGATAGTGGAATATTTCATTCAATTTGTTCGATGAAGTTTACAGAAAAAATGAGAAAATAATATAAAACTCATTGAACTACTGAACAGAAATCACCATTAGGATTGATCAGCAATTAAAATATACTGGAACGATATAAGAATTGGAGATTACAGTTCAACATTCTGTTAACTTGAATGAATACTTTAATAAATTCTAAATATTAAAATAAAACTATTAACAAAATATCTATGAAATGAATTTTGACATAACATCTTCTAAACTAATGATTATTTATCAATTTTTTGACCAATAGATTAAACTGGGGTGTGTGTGGGGGTTTACTGGTATTCTCTTTTCACCTACCAACACTCACACACCCACACCCACACCCACACCCTGAAATAGCCATTTTCACAAGTGTTTTTTTTAAATGAATAAAATACACTCATATCTTAACACAGAAGTCATGCAAAGAAGTACCATCAAGCTGGTCTCTTGCGACTCTTCAATACTAGCTTTATGATGGCGTTAGCATGCAAATACACACTAAATTTAAATGCGTCGTGTTTATGTGTCGTGATTTATTGTGTTGTGCGCTCCAGCACAAAAATGTGTCGTGCCTTGAATGTGGCGTATATGAATTTGTTGCATTCTGTCTGTCGACTATTCATTCACTGTTCTGTTATGCATACATGGCGATATATAAACAACGAGGTTGAACGTACGAAAGATAAATTTTCAAAACATTCTTCTTTTCTAGATTATTTCTCGATCATATTTTAATCGAGAAAATGCCAATTTCGATCTACGATCGAGAAAGCACTACCCTGAAATGGTCTGATGTAAATCGGACCGACTCGAGATAGGCCAGATCTCAGGATATGACCTGTCTAAATTATTCAGAATATGAATAAATAAATGGAAATAAATTGAAAAAAAAATAGAAATATGCTTTCCCAAAAGAACCAATGAAAAATGTGACGGATGTGTCGTGGTCTTGCTGGTCAAAATGTGTCGCAACGAGCACCTCATGTCGTGCTTTAATGTGTTATGCACTGTGTCGTAAATCACGACATATCCGACACATTTTAACTTAGTGTGTGCATTAAATTCAAGAAACCTTTTCCAAATAATTTTTGCTTTCGATTGCCATGTGAATCAGACCGGAAAAAAACC